AGGTATAATAAGCTTATCCTTTCAGTACCCAGTTATGGATAAACACTACCTTCGGTAGAGGATTATCCATATCGGGTATAATAAGCTTATCCTTTCAGTACTCCGTTATGGATAAACATTGCTCTCAGTAAAAGATTATCCATATCTGGTATAGTAGCAGCTTACACAACAACTTATTTTCTTCTATAAATAGAAGAGATTTCAGTTCATTATGTACATCAGTTTGAATTCGAATAATATATCAGTTTTTCTCTATACGTATCTTTACTTTATAGTCTTTATTTTATAACACGTTATCAACACGAGACTCTGCCATCTCGAGCAAATATTTTGAAAGTATCTGAGGTAAGAACTTTCTTTTCCTAAATAATGTCAAATCTTTCTAAACTTGAATTTGCAGCTCTGGATATATCGGGAAAAAGGTACATGTCTTGGGTGCTTGATGCTGAAATTCATCTTGATGCGATGGGTCTGGCAGACACCATCAAAGACAAAAATCAGGCATCAAACCAAGACCGTGCCAAAGCAATGATATTCCTACGCAATCACCTTGATGAGGGCCTGAAAATGGAACATCTTACTGTTAAAGATCCAGTCATACTATGGAATAATTTGAAAGATAGATATGACCACCTGAAGATGGCCATTCTTCCACAGACACGATATGATTGGACTCATCTAAGGCTACAAGATTATAAATCTATCAGTGAGTATAATTCTGCTATGTTCAGAATTATTTCCCAATTGAAGTTATGTGGTGATAATATTACTGATCATGATATGTTGGAGAAAACTTTCACCACTTTTCACGCCTCGAATATGCTCATGCAGCAGCAATATCGAGAGATGGAATTTAAAAAGTATTCTGAACTTATCTCACATCTTCTTATAGCCGAGCAAAATAATAGGCTATTAATGAAAAACCATGAAAGCCGATCTACTGGTTCTTGTCCATTCCTTGAAGTGAATGAGACGAACTTCCACCAAGCTTAACGTAGAAAAGGTCGTGGCCCCAGTCATGGTCATGGTCGTGGTCGGGGAAGAAACTCTAATCATGGTAATAATAATGCACCAAAGAACACTCCTCACCACCAGCAGTGGAAAAGGAAGGAACAAAAGCATGAAGTGGTGCAAGCACCAAATGCAGAAAATGCATGCTATAGATGTGGAGGAAAATGGCACTGATCACGTACTTGTCGTATGCCAAAGCACTTGGTTGAGCTTTATCAAGCCTCCCTAAAGAAGACAGAGAAAAATGCTGAAGCACATTTTATTTCNTTATATTAAATGCTTGCCTCGATTTGCTCCTGAAGTAGCATTATCGTAAAAGAGCTTCTAAGACATCACACAGTTTGTGTGATTAATGCGCGTTCAGATAATTATGTTCCGTTCCCTGAAGGATGAGAACTTTTGATAAATATTAATACATTTCCTAAAGTGAATGTGACAATATTAATAAAGCTCGTAAATATGAATGCGCTCTTGATGTGAATATATCACAATTCACCTCTAGAAGAGGTAATATAATTGAGAGAATATATACTCAATATTTCGTATTTTAAATTTGCTCCTGAATAGTAACACAATTGAAATTGCCTCCTGAAGTAGGAAAATATTATGAAGAAGAGTTTTCTTGTGCTTAAACAATTGTTTTACATTGTTTATTTGATTGTGATTTTCTCTCATGATACCAAAAGTGTATGAGAAATATTTGATAGTACAAAATGTATCAACAACTCCTGAAGAGCTAACTATTTGCCTAAAGGATACATGACACTAGTAGTGCCCGATAAATATTAGATTGTGGATAATAAATGAAGACTCTCGAAGAGCTTATATACAAATATGTCATTCATATTATATGATTATGGTCAAAACATATGTTCTAGTAAACCTGAAGTTTACTAATACAAATGGCTATCATATTGAGACTACAAATGATTGGAAGATTGATAATCTTCATGTTTCCACAATCATAGGGGGTAAAATAATATGTATGTGAGAAGTTACCCGCCTTATTCTTTAATTTGTACTATATCATGTATCACAGTAAACCAGAAGTTTACTAAAGCAAAAGTTTATGCCATAGTAAACCAGAAGTTTACTAAGAGATAGCACATGACATGATAAACTTGAAGTTTTCATTTGCCATTTTTAAATGAGCTATTTGAGAATTCAGATAAGCATATACTAAAGAACTAGAAGATTCTTCAGGAATTCTCATGTGTTGCTTGTTCTCATAATGAATTGATTATACCAGCTAAAGTTGGGACTAAGACCCCTGATTCTGAAATATATAAAAGGTGAATATGGGCCCGTTCACCTATCATGTGAACCACTTATAGGTGCATATATGAGATGGTTACATGTGTAATTATTGTCAACCTGCAGTTTGGCATTTGGAATTGCTTTTCTCGATTAAGAGCATAATTTTCAGATTATGAAATCAAGACAGTTCATCTTGATAATGCTGGTTTATATCCAAGCTGGTTTAGCATTGAATACCTCCTATTAATGGCTAAACCATTGCTTATGAGAACAAAGCTTCATGTGTTGGTCTAAGATTTTCTAAATTGCATATAGCAGCACTTGTATGCATCAGATCAACAATATATGATAAGTCCTCCCTTCACAATTGGTTTAGGATCAGAAACCAAATATTTTTACTATCTTTTGTTGCGTGGTATATGATTAATTTCTCTACCATAATACACAAAGATATGTTTCCCAAAGATGATTGGGGATATATGTTAGTTTTTCTAACATTTGGGGGATGGAATAAACAGTTGAAAAATATGCTATATGAATCGAATTATCATAATCCTCACTTAGAAGATAATTCATGTCGAATGCCAGAAGCATTTGCTGATCCAAAATTAAATATCATATTTCAGCTGCAAATGCTCCTATTAAAATTAAAGTCCCTGAAGGATAGAGTTTACTGTACGCATGAAGCGTGGTAGACCAATCGGTTCCAAAGGTAACAACCCTTGAAAAATAGTAGGAGCTAATGATGATAATGAGGAGGAAATAAGCTCTAGAAGAGCCCACGACATAACATTTCATGAAACTCCCGAAAAAGTTCAGGTACCTAAAAATAAAGAAAGTGATGAGATCTCAACAAGTTATGTCGCTTCGGAACTGACACAAAATGATCGTCGACGATATATTTGATACAATATAGTGCACAATATTGTAAAAGATTGTGAGGATCGGACCAGCAGTCCAGACACTTGAAGATGTCATACCATTTAGATACAAGTCTTAACCTATATGGCTTATTTGACTAAATCTATATGAAGATCCTTGAAGAATTGAAAATGCCTGAAGCATATAATTCAAAGTCTTGAGAAATGTACTCGATCAAATTATAAAGATCTTTGTACGGTTTAAAGCAATCTATGCGTGTGTGGTATAACCGCCTCAGTAAATATTTGCTGAAAGAAAGTTACATAAATTATGTTATTTGTCCATGTATTTTTATAAAGAAAATGTCATCAGAATTTGTTACACTTGCTGTTTATGTTGGTGACATAAATTGGAACTCCGGAAGAGCTCCAAGAGGATCTTAAAAATGCTTTTACATGGACAAAGTGTACCAATTAAGTACACCAATGGATATTCAATCACTTGAAGTGAATAAGGATCCGTTCCAACCTCTAGAAGAGGATGGGGAGCTCCTTGGTCCTGAAATACTCTAACTCGGTGTAGATGGTGTACTTATTTATCTTGCTAATGCTAACAAAAGTGGTGCAGATCGTATTGGTAATGCAGATGCAGGTTATTTATCCGATACCCATAAAGTTCGATCTCAAACCGACAAACATGGAGTGAATATGATTGAGATCAGTTATTCATTCGAGAAACATATGGGTTGGAATGTTATAAAAGACCCACAATATTATATAAAGACAATGTTTCATGCATATCCCTATTAAAGGGGGGATTTATAAAAGGAGATAGAACGAAGAACATTTCACCAGAATTATTCTACATACACGATCTTCAGGAAAATTGTGACATTGATGTGCATCAAATTAGTTCAAGTGAAAATCCAGCAGATTGTCTTTACCAACTTCAATTTTTGAGAATATGGTATACAAGATTGGAATGCGGAGACTCAAATATTTGAAATAAGGTTTTCTTGAGGGTGAGTAAAATGCGCACTGTACTCTTTTTCCCTTACTAAGGTTTTTCCCACAGGGTTTTCCTTATAAGTTTTTTAATGAGGCAGCCAACAATGCGTATTACTAAATATGATTACTCTTTTTCCTTCACTTAATTTTTTTTTTCTACGGGGTTTTTTTCTAGTAAGGTTTTAATGAGGCACATTATCTTTTAATGAACATCCAAGGGGGAGTGTTATAAATATATTATATTATGGATGTTCATTTAGTACTCCGTTGTAAATAANTCCTTTCAGTACCCAGTTATGGATAAATATTACCCCTGGTAGAAGATTATCCATACCGGGTATAATAAGCTTATCCTTTCAGTACCCAGTTATGGATAAATATTACCCCCGGTAGAAGATTATCCATATCGGGTATAATAAGCTTATCCTTTCAGTATTCCGTTATGGTAAACATTGCTCTCAGTAAAAGATTATCCATATCTGGTATAGTAGCAACTTACACATCAGCTTCCTTTCTTTTATAAATAGAAGAGATTTCAGTTCATTATGTACGTCAGTTTGAATTCGAATAATATATCAGTTTCTCTTTATACTTGTTTTTACTTTATAGTCTTTATTTTATAACAATTTAGTTGTTTCTGTATCATAGAACTTTTACCCACAATAAATTTCTTGTTGGCTAATGTTTTAATTTTGTTGCCATAACTTTTTGGGTAATATAATAATTTTAAAATATAAATAAGTTGGCAACAATAAATTGTCAGTGTTGCCAAAAGTATTTTCTTGTTGGTAAAACACTTATTTTTCTCAATAATTTGTTTGACTTGTGGCAATATTTTTAGTTCTTTCTCAATTTTCAGAAAAAATAAAAGCGGCAAACTTTCCTCCCCTTTTCCCCCAAATCCCTCCCCCTTTTTATTTTCATTTTGGCTCTCACCTTCCCCAATCCATTCAACCCTTGGACTCGCGCTTTCAGCTATGAGGTTCAAATGAGCAGCTACTATTTCTTCCAATTCTATGGCTATGGCTTGAAATTGTAGCTCTCGGTTGTTTCTAGTTTAGGGTTTCAATTTCTTGAATGCTTCGATTTAGGTTTCATTGAAAAGTGGTGTAGGATAGTTATTCTGACTGTCGTGTTAGATTTAGAATCTAGAGCACCTAGACATTTGTTCTGAAATACTGATGGGTTGCTTTCCTTTTGCAGATATATGTCCCAACTAATCCTCGTGGTGCAGAATTATTGCCACCAGGGATTGTGGTTTCGGAATCAGATTTTTATTTAGGAAGGTGTGGGGTGAATAAAGTGAGGTATGAAGCAAATATCTCTAATGAAGTTGTTTAATCCTGATTTAACAAAAAAAGATAAGAGTGTGGTAATTGTATAGATTAAATTACCTATAACTGTCTCTTGTTAAAAGAAAGAGTGAAAGACACTCTGCAATTTTCTTGCCCTTCGTGAGCTATTCTACTATCATATCATTGTAGCACGAACTTCATACTAGATACTTTAATGTTGCTAATGGTGCTTCAGGATCAATTTTAGTTTCTTATTTGTGCTCTTTAAAAAAAGAATCTAGGACATCAAATAAACTATTTTCTTGCAGGTTCTAAATAAAGATAGTGAGGTTCATCCACATCAGTACTTATATCTCCATTCCAGTTCTAATCATTAGTCTCATGTCTTATTCGGTTGGTATTTCTGTTTTACTTTTTTCTTTTGTGAATATTATGTCCTTTCTATTGATAGATAGATTCACAAGCAGATCGTGACTATAATTTTATATTTTTGGTATATTTATGCTTTTTGAAATTGGGATAGATGTAGTTTTTTGGCATTTGCTTTGGCTCTCTTTTTTGGGTTGTAATGTTCCTAACGAATAGGCTGTTTCTGGCTTTGCGGATGCAAGTCTCTCTTTGGCTGTGTTACTTTGATTCCCACATCTCATTGTAAGTTAGTTTCTTCTTTGTCTATATTCGTTTCTTTAGCATATATGTATTAAAACTGACTTAATGCATTTCAATGCACTGATTCTATCCCCATTAGTAATGGAAGTTTGGAATGGAAATAGTTACATTTAGTGATCTGAGTATTACTATCTTGTATTCATCTTGAGGAAGATGTTATATCTGTATCTCTGGTTTCAATGGACACTTCATATTCCAAAGGACTGAATATTTTGCGAGATTAGGTGTTATATGTTCTCTTAGAAAATTCGGTGAAATTTTATAATTACTGTGATTTCAATTTGGAGCTTAGGAGGATTAGTTGCCTTGGTAAAACTAAAACCATAGTGACCTTTCTGTTCCTTAGTTTTATTGATAAATTTTAGTGTCTTGCACTAAAGAATTTTGAAGTTTAAGAAGTAAATTCTTTTTTAGAGAAAGGCAATTGTATTATAAAGCTAGCACTTAGGAAGTGATGTAGTAATTTTTTTTGGTTAAAGTACTGTAGTAATTACAAGTGAGTATAACACCAGAAGAAAAACTCTTTCCAATATTACAGGAATTTCAAGAAATAAATCTTTGTGTCGTGTATCTATAATGCCTTATTTGTACTACCGATTATCATTCATTCACTACTTTTTTATATGCTACTAGTGTTCGTCAGTAGTTCCACTTGTATATTTGTGTGGAGAAAGAGAGGTAGTTCTCTGCTTTAATAGAAGCCTTTATTGTTTAATGTGTGGTATAGATTTAAACACACGGAAAGAAATAGTCACAAGTTAACCAATAAGAAATGAAACCTTTGATATGCAAATAGGAAGCGGTACCAAATGCAACATGTCATAGTATATGTTTCCTTGACCCATGGTCCAATATTGCTTGCAGCCTATAATTATAATTGTCGCATGACTGTTGTACATGTTTTTGGTAGAGCTGGACCTGCTATGTAATTCCAAACACATAACCAGTTGAGTTTATTCACTTTTGAAAAACTAACTCTGTTCAATCTACAACTTCTTCTTTTTTGTGCTATATTCTATATCATGGACATTGCCTATATAGGTAGTAATGCTGAATTCTTTCTGAGTATACTACTCCAAGTCTCCTTCCTATTTCACCAAGCTAGTTGAGGATTCTTGATTTTGTCAATGAATTAGAAAAACTATGGAGGAGATTGAAATTGATGGAACTAGTGTTATAGAGTGAATTGTATCTTTTGTTTCCTCTACTCTGTTTTATGGCCTTCACATTTTTGCTACTATTTATATTTGTTAATCTTATAGTGCTATATTTTGGAAGAAGAGGATGAGGCAAGTCTTACAAGTCATTCTAAGTAACTTTATCTGATAAATTTGCAAATTATATTCAGTTTTCTTTTAATTGAGTGTTTCTATACAGCAACAATTCTGTAATATGTCAAATTTTCAGTGACGAAGTAGTTGATGTGATCGTTACTGTGTTAAAAGAAAAATCAGAAAACTGTTAGAAAAATAAAGAAATGTATAAAATAGTAAAGAATCAGAAATATTCCGAATCCACAATTTTCTTGTGCGTCCTTAAGGAATTTTAACCCCCTCACACGTTGTCAAGGTAATGGATTAAATCCTCCCAGGATAAAACGGAATAAACCTTCCTGCAACAGTGACAATACAAACTGCAGGATACCAACGAACTCAAAGAACGGAGCAAAATCACACTTACAAATTTGAGAGAGAGAGACTGCGAATTAGGATGCAGTATATTCTGAAAGAAAGAAGTTCTAGAGTGTTTTTCGTATCTGGAAGATGCAGCCTTGCCTTAGAATTTATAGGCAAATATCAGAAGAGGTGTCTGGAAAGGTGCCTTTTCAGAAAATACGCGGCCTGCCGCGGTTCTACCGCGATCGCGGCTGAACCGCGGCCAACGAGGCCCTCTGAACTTTCAGTAGTGTTCTGGCGTATTTTCAGTAGTGATTTGGCATTTAATTAATTATTAAATAATTAAATAAATTTTGTCCAAAAAATAATCTTATCGATCGATCATTTGACAAATCCAAATCCAAATCCAAAGCCAAAGCCAAAGCCAAAGCCGAGCCGAGAGAGCGACGACAACGGTGCGAGGGTTCATTCTCTTCAACTCCTTTTAAGAGCTTTAAGAAGTGAATCTATATATAAGCACATAAATGTGATTGTCCCTCACCAATGAGGGACAAAGTGCAAGACAAAAGTTCACTTCTTCAAATTTTCATTTTCCCTCCATTTTCAATTCACACTTCTTCTACTTTAAAGCCCAATGACTTAAAGTTCAACAATCCCCCACATAAATGGGAATGGCTGTATCAAGAAAGATCATAGATGAAAGCTATGTGATTTTGCAAGTAAGGATTAATTGCATCTGGATAAGTAGGTTTCCCTTT